CACGAAGCGGATCAAGAAACTTTAGGTTACGCGGTCTGCTAGATAACACAATAGAGGAACAAATCCGTTTGAATCTGATGAGGTATACAATCTGAATTTACCTATAGACGGTTCCCCGCTCCTCCCGCGACTACATTTTTTTTTTTCTTTTACTACTCCCTATCTCTCGTTACGGCATTAAAAGTTTAGGCTACTTTATTTGACTACCGGGGAAACGAGATATCCCGCGAATTATCTACTTCCCAGGGCACCAGCGAGACCGGTGACGTTGTCAATCATTGGCAGTGATAGCCAACTATTCGAAGTACCAGGTAACATTTAACAGTGTCAACCTCAGCTTCAGTTCCAAATTTCCTCGAGACCCACACAACCTCCAGCCCATTACCTCGATGAAGTTCTTCGCCATCGCTGCTGCCATCGCCGTCGCCGTTGGCTCGACGTCTGCCAAGGACATCACGCAGCAGACCACGCAAAGCTCGGACCCTTCCACGCAACAGACCACGCAGAACGAGGGTTCCTCTACAACTGGTGCTGTGGAGGACTTCTGCGGTCAATGGAACCTCACGGAGACCGAGCACTACACGCTGTACAACAATCTGTGGGGCGCACATAACGACACGAAAGGCACTCAGTGCACGGGTCTCGACAGTGTTGAGGGCTCCACCATTGCCTGGCACACGAGTTACAACTGGAAGGGCTCCAAGCTGCAGGTCAAGTCGTTCGCCAACGTAGCGCTCAAGTTCGACAAGGTGCCGCTGTCCACGGTCAAATCGATCCCGTCGACTATCAAGTACGACTTCAAATCCAAGGGTAAGGTGATCGCCAATGTGGCCTACGATCTGTTCACGACCTCCACTCCCGACGGAGACGCTGAATACGAGATCATGGTCTGGCTGGCGGCCATGGGAGGAGCGGGTCCGATCTCGGCTACGGGAAAGCCCATCAAGAAGGGAGTGAAAGTTGGCGGCGTCAACTTTAACCTTTACCACGGCAAGAACGGCAACATGACGGTGTACTCGTACGTGGCCTCCAAGCAGACGAAAAGCTTCAGTGCCGACTTTAAGCAGTTCTTCCACAAGTTGCCGGCGAAACACACAGTCTCGCCGAAGCAGTACCTGACTCACGTCCAGGCCGGCACGGAACCCTTCGTTGGCAACGGTACTATGACTGTGACTGAGTACGCTGCCGCGGTCCACACCGTTTAAACGCACTAAAGAAGTGGACTTATTTGTCGTGTGTGTACACCGTCAGTGGAGGTGACTAGGTCGTTGTTTTGACTGATAACCTTTTGATTGATAACATCGACTTGGGTAGATCACCAGACGCTCGATCGTTTTGTTGGCACGGGTACAGATCGCAAGACGCACTGATGCAAATCTATCGTCGTATCAGTTGCAAACGTTTCGTTCCGCCCATAGTGGGGACTCGAACAGCTTTGATTCGGTTCCAAGTCCAACTCTGCGTGGAGGCTTTCCCAACACTCCGAATGCATTGAACCGGGCGACATGTTTTCTTCTTGATGGCGTGCTATCAAGCCGGACACCTTCGTTTGTTTGTTGAGTTGCTCGGGGCAACATAGCCAATGCTAGTCTAACTCTACGGATGGGACACGGGCTACTACCCCAACGGGGTTCTTGGAACTCATTCGAAAACGAATGCAGTAATCATGTCACTCGACAATTCGCTTCCAGCAGCTCAAAATCATTGAGCATCACTAAGCTAGTCAACATGAAGTTCC